GGATAAGATTCAAATAGACAAATTATGGGGGGGAGGGGGAGTTGAGCAAAGACTCAGAGGTAGCACTGCTCCAAGTATATCAGTAGATTAGCTGGGCTCAAGTTAAGGCTTTTAAACGGAGATAACTGTGGAAAAGTGATTTGGGGCCACCTTGTGAAAAACCCTGAATGCCAGGGAACACAGTGTGATTCTATTCAGTATGTTTCTGAGAACCACTGGTATAATAATATTGCAGGGTAGAATGACTTAACATGGAGAGCGCTTTGAGACAAGAAGATTAAGTAGGAAATGCTTGTAATGGCTCAGACGTAAGAAAATAGAACCTGAACCAAAATGGTAGCAGTGGGAAAGGGTTAATAGATGTGAGCAATATAGCAAAACAGGATTGACAGGTCACTGTTAGGGGGTAGAATAGAGCGTGTCTGCGGGTGGGAAGGGGGTAGCCTAGACCCAGAGTAGAATAAAAAAGGGCTGTATTTGCAAGGTTGACATATAAAAAGGATGAAACTACCAATGAAAAATATTGAAAATTCAAGAGAAGGGGGTGGCTTTGTGAAGAAAATAGTTTTGAGACTTTGATGACTATGAAATAGCCAAGTAAGAATATCCATCAGTGAGTAACAGATCTAAGACTAGAGTTTGGAAGAGTACTATGCCACAGTTGTGACTTTGTGATTACTCCCAAAAGATGATAGTTGAATCCACGAACATGGAGGACATTTTTCAAAAAGGAAAGGGTTTAGAGAGTTTGTCACATCAGTGATGAATGTATGGTAGGAGAGCACAGAAACAATGAAGAGAGAAGAATAGGTTAGAAGAGCAGAGAACAAAGGGGGTGTAGGGAATAATCATTGTCTCAGAAGCCAAGGGAGAAGCCAGGATTCCAAGGCCAGCTGGGTCATCACAAGACTAAGAGGGAAACAATGGGTATCGCCTGGAACGAAGTACAGAAAGAGACCTAAACACCTGTAGGAGTGATCATATGTTTGTCTATAGAGTTACATTCCCAGGAAAGAATGGGTTAACTTTTTCATGTCCTTTCTTCATTAATACAAACAGAAAAGCAGGCGGTGAAACAAATTGGAAAACAGTGTACACACAGCTAACACTCCTTGAGAAAGAGATTTCACACTGACTCTTGGTAACCTGTTCTGATGCTCAATGGCACTTGTTACCCAGGAGTTCTTTTTAAATCATTATCCAAAACCCCTACTGCTCTCATTTAAGCTGTATTTTTTCTGGCTTGCTTGTGTTTATTCTCAGGAGACATAAAGAACATATGATAACTACTTTTCAAGTAATAATCTTTCAAATTTTTGAAATAGATATTACAGAGGATTCTTCCTCTCCAGCCCTCTATTCTTTGGGCTAAACAATGCTAAAGAGTTTATCCTTTCTTTATAGGCATTTCTTCCTAAGACAATGGCTCAGGCTGAGCTCCTAGGATTTGGATCAAATTTATATTGAAGTCACTGGTTTGTATCAGTGAACAATATTTAACTCAAGTTTGTTAATTAAGTAGAAATTCATTAATGAAATGATGATGACTCTTTCAGGGAAGAACTCTGTGCATCTTTTTTATCCTGAGACATGACTTTGAACCGGTTTGTTTTGGTTCAGCCCTTTGCTGAGAATTTGCATTTCCACCCCAGATATACTGAACAAGAATCTACATTTTAATGTGATCCCCAGGTGATTCTTATATATATAAAAGGATTCTCAGCAGGGGGTCAAACTGAAATGAACCAGTTTGAATCCCTGTCCTGAGAGCACTTATCAAACATAATAGGTAAAATAGTAAATCTAAAATAATAATACAGTAAACCTGTGGAAGCTGGAACCTGTGTAAAGCAGAAACCTGTCAAAGAAGGACAACTCAAATATTTTTCACTAATAGGAAGTGATAGAAGAGTGTAAGACTGTATCCTGTCAAAGGCAGAAAACTTGCAAAACCTAGAAAAACAAGGCAATCCTATCGAGTTCCAGCTCTCACAGGTTTCACTGTAATAATAGTAATAAAACTTGTGCACGAAGAAGAAGAAATAGGGCTTTTATCTCTTATTCCCAACACCTGGCATATAATAACTCAATTCATGTTTGAATTAAAGCAAGGATCTAAAATATGCACTAAGATATTAAATCAGGAATTTGATTTATAGAAGGTAGTTAAAAGTCAAGGGCAGCCTGTTGAACTATTTCTTAGGGGTATGATATTTTATGTCTTTTAATATATTCAAAACACTCAGAAATATAAAAAGCTCTGAGATTGGCAGGAATTGGCCTTTTAATGAATGCTGCTTCCATTTCCTCTCTTTAGAATTTGTGCCATAGTTTTTCATGGCAATCTTAATAAAAATTATTGAAGGACTATGGGTATCAATTCACCAACAAGTATTTGTTGCAGGCCAGCTAAGCCCTTCATACTGTGTTCCAGGGGAAAAGTTCAGTGAACATAAAATCACAGACTATTAAATGTCATAAAGATTCTGATCAGGGCTTTGGAGCGGTTCCTTCAGGTTTCATCCCCTGCTCAGAATTTGCATTTCCAACCCAGATATACCGAATCAGAATCTATATTTTAATAAGATTACTAGGTGATTCTTATGGATTCCTAGTGGAATGGATCTGGGAATGTCATTAAAATGTAGATTCTGATTTAGTATATCTGTGGTAGAAATGCAAATTCTCAGCAGGGGATCAAATTGAGCAGAAAAGAACTGGTTCAAAGCCCTCCTTCTGATTTAACCAAAGCAGAAATCCTTTTGACAACATAAGAGTGAATGTCTTGTGCTAGGCAGTATTCTTATATCTGTGTAATACTATCTAAGTATTAGAAGAAATTTCTAATACTTACCACAACCCATTGAAATAGGTAATGTTATTATCCTCATGTTATAGATGAGAAAACTGTTGAGTCTTGCCTAAGGCCCTATAGCTAGTTAGCAACAGGGCCAGGATTTGAACCTGGGTCATCTGATTCCAAATTCTGACTACTTCATCACTACTCTATGAGAGAAGTCTTCCAGCCTCTACTTGACTACTTTGAGGTACAATGAATGCATTACCTTTTACTAGAAAATTTGTCTTAATGTTGATATGGAATCTTCCTTGCTGCTTGGGTTCTTAGTTGTGAGTGGGAGTGGAGCATGGCTTTTTTGTCTTCCTTTGAGCTATAGATAAGCAGGTTAGGGCAGTACAGACTCTGGATCCTGGAAGCACACCCCCGGAGACTTCACACTAGGACTTGTCAAGCATCCTGGCCACATGTTTCCATTTTCATTACAATGTTAATTGTCAACTGGCATGTTTATATCAAGATTTCCTATGTCAGCATTTTCTCCAGGATCTAACCACCCGTTAACTTGGGAAGTTAGCACTGTGTGAGTGATAGAGAGGTGGATTTGGATCCAGATAGACCAGGATTCAAAATATGTCCTAGTTAAAGTTTTATGATCTTGGGCAACTTATTTAATCATTGAACTTTAGTCTTCTTGTCTAACAAGAATAACAAAAGATCCTTTGCCACATCTTAAGGTTAGTTGTAAGGATTAAATATGATATAGCTGTAAAATTCTGAGAACCTAGTTGGTGCTCAATTATGGTGGCAAATTCATGTTAAGAAGGCCTTGTGTGGACAGTGCTGTGCTGATAAATGTTTATTTAACAATTGGCTTTCTGGGGAAAAAAAAAGATTTAGTCTGTAGCATTTGCTGATTTTTGTGGTGTAAATACTCCCAACAAGGCTGATTTCAAGGTGTCACAGTGACATCACTGAATACACAGTGGGGAGTGATGCACACAATCAATTAATCCACAAGCCATCTCCAGCATGCCTGTGTGTGTTGTCCATGTGTGACTCCCACTCCCACTCATAACTAAGATTTGCAGCATTAATACATAATTAAAAAGATAGATGCACGAAAAAAATTTTCTATTAGAAGGTAGAAACTGACTAAGGAATTGTTAGCTGCCATCGAGTTGGCCCCTGCCTCATAGAGACCTCATACACAACAGTGTGAAATGCTTCCCAGTGCTAGCCATCACCATGATTGGTTGCAGATGAGACCACTGTGATCCACAGGTCTTTTATTGGCTGATTTTTGGAAGTAGATCACCAGACCTTTCTTCCTAGCCTGTCTTAGTCTGGCAGCTCCACTGAAACGTGTTCAGCTTCATAGCAACACACAAGCCTCCACTGACAGATGGGGGCGGTAGCTGCACATGAGGCTTATTGGCCAAGAGTTGAACCCTTAGGCAATTTATAACATTTGAAAAGAAAGTACCCTATAGGTTGTGATCCTAATTTTATAGTGACTCTGTTTTTACGGTATTTCATTCAACTCATTTCTCAGACAGTTTTTATCTTTCAGTGCTTATTAATGTAATTTTTTTTACATATACCTTGAAGCTCTAAGTTTGGAGTTAAAGAAACTTACCATAGAAACATCAGCAAAGGCAAACAGAGCTATACAAGAATATAACATAAGTAGAACAATTCAAATAAACTTACTCCTGCATTGCTGTTTCAAAGTTTGTTAGTCTTGTCACCATAGTTTCGCACAAAGTTAATGAAAATAGGAACTCTATAATTTTGATGCAGAACATCAAGCACCTCATAATTATCATCATCACCCATCTTTATTCACTGTCATCCATCACCATTGTTATTGTATTTTTATTGCTCAGATTAAGCCAGTCCTAATAGAGCATAATGGTATGGAAATTATTTAATTACATTATTATAAGTGCAAACTTTATCAAGTCAGAAATCACTTAGTCCTATGACAGAAATCCACAAATACCGCCTTCTGGAAGCACTATGTGTGCCTTTAAGATGTTTAACTTGTTCATGCAGAGAAATATGTAGATTGTCTGATAGCTGACTTTTCTTCTATCCTTCGTGTTTATACATCTAATTTTGCCTCTGTGTTGAAGAATCTCAGACTTTACAGTTCAGAAGAAATCACTTATGGCTCTTGCTAAATATACAGATTTGGGAGCCTCATATAGTAGATCTCAGGTAGGGCCCCTGGAATCTCTATTTTTAACAAACTCTCCAGGTGCTTCTGATATAGGTGGTGTAGAAAAACACACTTTGAGGAACATTGCACACTGCTTCAGAAAAGACATTCATTCTTTTTCCTATGTATTTGTCATCTTACTGCTTAATGGTATAAGAATATCAAGAAATAAATATGTTATTATTACATAAATTATAATTACATTGACCATTAAATAATTGATAATAATAATAATGAAATCAGATGCATATATGGTGCTTACTATGTGCCAGACATCCTCTAAATGGATTTGCATGAATGAATCCTCACAATGACCCTATGAGGCAGGTAATATCATATTCCCATTTTCTAGATAGGAATGCTAGAGGAGGCTAGTCACTGAGTCATAGATGTTAACAGCCAGACAGCATAGGTTCAACTTCTGCCTCCACTACTTATTGGCTACATGATGATGGGAAGGCCCCTTCCCCTCTCCCTGACTATAAATGAAAATTTAGTATGACTAGTACTAACCTCGGGGAGCCCTGGTGGTGCAGTGGGTAAAGCGATCGATCAGCTGCTAACCAAAAGATCAGCAATTCGAAACCATCAGGAGCTCTGCAGGAGAAAGATGTGGCAATCTGTTTCCATAAAGATTTACAGCCATCTAAGATGCATCAATTGGTCCCAACTCACCTGGAGTAAAGGAGAATGAAGAACACCAAAAACACAAGGCAAGTATTAGCTCAAGAGACAGAAAGGGCCACATAAACCCTCAGAGACTTCATCAGCCTGAGACCAGAAGAACTAGATGGTGCCTGGCTACCACCAGTGACCACCCTGATAGGAAACACAACAGAGAGTCCCTGATGGAGCAGGAGAAAGGTGGGGTGCAGAACTCAAATTCTAGTAAAAAGACCAGACTTAATGGTCTGACTGAGTCTGGAGGAACCTCAGAAAGCATGGCCCCCAGACTCTCTGTCAGCTCAGAACTAAAACAGTTCCCAAGGCTAACTCTTCAGACAAAGATTGGACTGGACTGTGGGACATAAAATGATACTCGTGAAGATGTGCTTCTTAGCTCAAGTAGATTCATGAGACTAAATGGGCAGCTTCTGTCTGGAGATGAGATGAGAAGGCAGAGAGGGTTAGGAGCTGGTTGAATGGACACGGGAAATCAGAGGTGGAAAGGAGGAGTGTGCTGTCACAGTATAGGGAGAGAAATTAGGGTCACATAACAATGTCTGTATAAATTTTTGTATGAGAGACTAACTTGAACTATAAACTTTCACTTAAACTACAACAATAAACAAACACACACAAGATTTACAGCCATGGACACCCCATGGGGTTGCTATGAGTCGGAATCGAACTGAGAGCAGTGAGTTTGGTTTTATTTTTATTTTTTGGAATACTAACCTCACAGGGTAGCTGTGAGGATTATATGAGCTGAAACAGGCAAGTATTTAGAGCCTCATCTGGAGACTAGGCCATGCTCTACAAATGTTAACTATCCTCCTCCTTTCTTGTGGTAACTCTGTCTTTCCAGCCCCTTTTCTGTGAGTTATTGTGGTTAACGTCCAAATGCTGCTTTCTGGGCTGTAACCACTTGTAACTAATAGAGAGTATTTTTCTTTTTCTCCTTTTTTTTTTTTTTTTTAAATCATTGGAAAACATATGATTTTCTATTAATTTTAGTAGGCAAACATACAAATGTTAAGCATAATTAATAATTTCATTACCTAATTAGAAAAGCAGAGCACAATGCGTGTGACTACAAGATTATATAAAGTCTCCACATTGAATACTACTATTAAATTCATTAAAAGAAAATAATATTAGGCCCCTTTATTTAGTAGACTGGATTTCAGACATTGTCTATTTGTAGTCTTTTCTCTTCCAACACAGCATCACATCACGGTTGCCTCCTGGTCCTCTTGCCTCTGATGAAACAGGCTCACAAACACTTTCGAGTTTTTCAGGTATTTCACCTGCCAGCATCAGTGGGAAATCCTTTAGAAGTTCCCTTTCTGTGTGCTTCACTATCTGTTGGATTTGTTGGGCTGTCGCTCTTACTACTTAGTGTACATTACCTTCACCTGGAGTTCTTTTGTAACTGAAAAATCCTGAGCACTAGATGCCCACTCAGATGGCCTGGAATGGAGCTTGGGAATCTGTATTATAAACTTTGCCCCCAGTAACACTGATGCAGTCACTCCATTGACTTCTCTTTGAGAAACACTGGCTTAGATTGTAGAGAAAAATAAAACTGCATATGAACGATAATTGGGACATGATGAGATAAAAGAGATTAAAGTAAGAATAGAAAACATTACCAAAGACAATTAGACTTTGCCTCTCTTGAGGGTTTCCTATTAACAATGGGTTCAAGGATAGGGTTTTTGCAGCAAGGTTCAGAACATGTGCAGTGAGTAGATGGAGTGGAAGCTGGGAACTCTAATAAGGAAACCACTCGAAAGAGGAGCATGTGGCAAAAGAGAAATTGCAACACAAGTTTACCCTCTTTCATTTCTCCCTTTACTTCTTTGGTCCATTCTTTCTGCCCCAATCTGCCATTAAATGTCCTGCTCAGAATGGGCCAGACTTCTAGTGATTGTTACATATGCATAGAGGGAGGGTTTTGCAGGTCATACATGAAAGCTCAAAGTTTATTGATATATTTATATTTGATATTGTGGCTTAAAGAGAAGGAACAAGGATGAGAAATGGGATCTTAAACAGCAGGAAAAACAGGGAATCCCTATAGCTCTTACGAAATAATTCAGTGGTGAAAGTATGATTTTGAGAAGCTGGTGTAGAGGTTTTATAACCAGTTATCATTGAGTCAATGCCAACTTATGGTGACCCCATGTGTGTCAGAGTAGAACTGTCCTCCATATGGTATTCAGTGGCTGATTTTCACATGTAGATTGCCAGATGTCTCTTCTGAGATACCTCTGGATGGACTCAAACCTCCAACCTTTTGGTTAGCAGCGGAGCTCACTGACCATTTACACAACCCAGGGATTCTAGAGGTTTTCTAGAATAAATATTTTAAACTTTATTTAACAAATACTTATAAAGCACTGCTTTACAAATTTTAAAAACATTAGTACATTTAATCTTCTTAACTCCTCTGTGAGGTAGGTAATATTAATATTCCAATATTACAGATGAGGAAAACTGAGAAGTTGCTTGTCCAAAGGATGTACAGAGGAGGCAGAAAGATGATGGCTCCATACTTTGAAGGAAAGTGGATATCATTTTGTATAGAAAGGGGGACTACATTTGAGTCCACCCAAAGGATGCTATTTGGGTTAGACTGACAAGCTCTATAGTAATTAGAACCCACAACTCAAAACAGAATTTAGACAGTTCTGGCAGCAAAAGTAACCTCCTGAGCATGGGGGTGGTGGGAGGGCATTCTTATGATGATAAATTGGGTGAGGCCACCTAATCCCATTTAGGATAGCTCCTGGATTTATAGAAATGAGCATATGAGGTAGGACTTAAGAATTAGAACTTATCCATTAGAATCTTTGCCACCACAGTTCATTTTTCCTGAGGCTGAGATAGGAGCATTAGTGCCCGAATTTTATGTTTCTTCTTGACCTCAAGGGCTCAACTGAAGACTTCACACAGAGAGCACCGAAATCTTTACCAGTGATATTTTAAGCAAGAGTATTTTTTATTCTTAATGTCCCAAAACATCTTTCTGAATCAATTAATATTCATCTGAAACATCGTTTTCTATGACTGATCAACAATAATAATGATAACAGCTGACATTCATCTTACTCTATGTGGTCACTGTTTAAAGTGTTTTACTCATATTCCATTATATGAAATGGCATAATTTACTTGATAACCCAGTTTTATTGGTCATTTTTATTATTTTCCAAGTTTTGCTATTAAAAACAATGCTGCAGCAGTCACATCTGTATCTAAATGATGTAAAGTCCCTGCAATTATTTCCTTAGAATAAATTTTTAGAAGTAGAATTGTGAGCGTAAGAGTGTGCATATTTTTAATATTTGTAAGAGTTTTCACATTTTGCCAAATTGCCTGCCAGGAAGTTTATACCATTTGTATTTCCACCAACAACATAGGAAGATTTTTTACAAAAAGCTTTCAAAGTAATGAATTGTGAATTAGCAACCTCTGAGTTCTTTTTAAGGTGTTATCTAGCAGTCTTCATAAAAAAACAAGATGTCCAATGACCTCTTTCCTCAGAGAGAGAATCCAGGATGCATTTCATTCTGTCTGTAAGATGTTGCCATGTAATAACTAGAGAAACTTCTGCAAAAGTAACATGGTATAAAGTGTGATACATTCTCTGGGCCATAATAGTTTGCTCTTGGTATCAGAGAGATCCTCAGTCCTTGTTATCGTTTACATTACTCAGGTCTTAACTCAAATGTCACCTGTTATAAAGAAGCTTCTCCTCCTACCTTGTCTAAAATAGTCTCCTCAACCTCCAACCACTCTCTATCCCATTATTCTGCCTTGTTTTTTTATAACACTTAACGCACAATTCTGTTTATTTATTTACTACTTTATTGTGTCTCTCCTCATTTCAGCATAAGCACTGGGACTCAAAATATCTTTCCTGTACTGGTTACCATTTTATTCTTGGTGCCTAAAACAGTGTCTGGCACATAGAAGGCATCCATATATGTTGAATCAGTGAATAGATGAATGAATGCTAGTTCTATTAAATTCCTACGTTCAAGCACAGCTGTTAGTCTGCATTACAGCTCTATAAAGGAACAAAGTATTCATATGGGGCGAAGCAACCTTTTTGGACCCTGTCTAATGTATTTAACCTCATAGATGAATATAAGGAGGGAAAGACTAATTATTAAAGCATCAATAGCATTGGACCTTTGATTACAAACGCGGGCGAGTTTCCCCTTGGATTTATCCCATGAGTCACCATTAATGGTATTGACAGTGCTTTCTCTTTGCTTATTACTTAAGAGCTGTGCCCTTTGGGTAGCCATCTTAATCAATTTCCTCA